CAATGTTTTGACAACTCACAAGACTCACAATGAAGACTTGACAAACTAATTCCCTTAAATAGTTCTGGGAATAAATGACTCAATGAAGTAAAAGAAAGATGACCCAAATGAAAATGACATAACATGACACGACTGACAAACTCTGAAGATGTAGATCCAAAGGCAGCTTTCCCAGGTTATCCTTGGCCCAGTCCAAGAGTGTCCAGCATATATATTCCATTCGCCTCATGGCCACTCCTAATCACTTTTTGAGACTTCAGATCCTGAAAAACACAGTAGGAAGGAAAAAAGATTATACAGGAGTTCAAAGAATTAGTTAAGCTGCTTACAGATAACAAATTTGTATTTAGTTTGGGTACATGAAGAGCAGAAGGAAGTACCAAAGAGTCCGTAGCTTTGATGGTTCCCTTGCTAGAGATAGGAGCAAGAGAGCCATTGGCTAGGGTGATTTTATCACGGCCAGGAAGCACCAGAATCAATAATCCAAGGGATCCTACGATTACCTGAGATAGTTGCATGGTTGGCAGAAGCCCGTATACCTGAATGAGCAAATGCAGAAGAGGTTGAATTTCCTAGAGGATTGGAAGAAGAGGCCGCACCCTCTAGGTGACTGATCATCCTTCCAAACTTCTCATACTCTGCCTTTATAACTGCTAATTGTTCACTAGCAGTCCTCTCTTCAGTTAGGCATCTGTCACTATCTGGACCAGCAGCAATATTGGCACTTCTTGCCTTCAAAACGAAGGGGAAGAAACTCCGGATGCAGTTTCCAACACTTGTCTTTTGTGTGTTTTGGTTTCTTATAGTACTCACAAATAACTTCTTTCTTCCCTGAGCCAACTGGGTTTCTTATAATTCCCTTAGGTTTCACCCCCATGTTAGCAAAGTGATCATTTAGACTAGCCCCTTGAACCTGGACTAGTCTCTTGCTTTCTTCACTGCTTACCAAGGCATAGGCTTGAGACAACGAAACACTATCCTTGGATAAGATGTTCTGCTTTGTGATGTCATACTCGGGATTCAGTCCCGTCAAAAACTCAAACACCATGTTTCTCTCAACTAGTTCCTTGTAGGTTTCAGCATCATTAGTGCTTTCTCAGGCTACAGTTTCCATCAAGTCAATTTCTTGCCAAAGAGATTTCAGTATTGAGAAATAAACAGCCAAAGGTTTCTCCCTTTGCCTTAAATTTTTCACATCACCCCTCAGCTTGTATGCTCTGGCTACATTTAATTTCTGGGAATAGGTTTTAGCAACACTGTCCCATATTTCCTTTGCTGAATTCATCCACAAATAGTGTTGACTAATTTGAGGTTGCATTGGGTTAGATCCTATTACAATATAATTTTCTTGCATCCATTTTTCATAGGATGGATCATCTTTCGAGGAAGCCTTCTTGCTCCCGGAGATATAACCCCATTTGCCTCTACTACAGATATGAATTTTTACTGATTGTGACCATGCCAAATAATTAGTTCCATCTAACTTGACTATGGTCACAGCCAGTAAAGAGTCAACAAAGGCTCCTGGAACCTGTCTGGATTCAGCAACATGCTTGTTTTCAACTTCCGAAGGGTCCATCTTCTAAAACACTTCAAAAATAACTTCTAATAACTTCAAATAACAATCAATGAAGACAAAAAATATTGTGTTGTGAATCAACCTCTATGCAGCCGTACCTATTAACTGCATCACACCCGAAACCCAGGAGAAACAGAAAAAACTCAGTTGCACCTTGTAGACTTCACAGAACACCGAGCAACTTGAATCGATCTTCAAGATGAAGAACAAGAAGTCTTTCAGTCACTGAGCGCCAAGGTCAAACTCCCTGTGGGGCCTACAAGCAGATTTCTCCAGTTAATTAGGGTTTTGGGCAACACACTTGATACTGTCAAGGGGACGACAAAGATAGCCTCCTCTCCAAAAACCACTAACAACTAGGCTGAAAAATATTTCTTTGACTATTCATCCAATTCAGTTCTCCATACACACTGTGTATGGGAAGAAAGAGGAGAAAAGAGAAAAAGAACAGCCCGCTCTGGTACCAAGAAGAAAAACAACCTTCTGAAATGAACGGAGTGTTCAAAAAGATGCAGAAAAGTGATTGAGAATAGCAGAAATCAGGATTCAAGAAGAGAGAAGAGGAAGAAGAAGGTGGCGGCAATAAGGGTTCAGAGAGAGATTTTTTAACATAATCTCCTCTTACACCCCTAATCCTATTTCATTAACTTAATTTCAGTAATTTACAGAGAGGCCCTTAGTTGGGCAAATAATTAAAAAGTACATAACATAAGAGAAAAGGCCCAAGTTGAGGCCCATTACAGCAAAGAACATAAAGAAACAAAATAAGAAAACAGCCTATGGGCCATTCGGCCCATCTTCTCTACAAAGGTTTAGCCCCTAAACCTTAATCTGATCCAAAGAACTCTGATTCTTCCTGGTTATTGGTGATCTCCAAAATTGCAGATCTTGGGCAGAAAGAATTTCTCCAACAAACCTCCAAGAATCAGGAAAAACAGGCTGAAATATCCAGCCCTAGTATATCCTCATGTATCCAGCTGGAACAAACCTACATTTTTTTTTCTTTTGAAAAAAGGTAAGGTAAATTTATTAGAACAGAACAAGAGATTACAGAGGGGGCCCACTGAAGGAGCAACAGACCGGGTCCAAGACCCTAAACTAAATTACAGCTCAAACAGACTTCTAGACCCCATCTGGGCTCCAAGCACCCTGGTCTGAAGACCTTTAGCAGCTGCTGTCCAAGAAACTAACTTGCCAAAAGAAATTAGACAATCTACATCCTTGGAACTGTTTCGGAAAATTCTTCTATTTCTTTCCGCCCAGATGGTACTAATCACTGCTGCAGGAACAGGCATCCACACACTTTTTGCAGGCCCTGGAGCTCCCAGCACCATAGCAGATCCATCACAGGATTTGGCATAACCCAAGATAATCCCCAAGGAGGAGAGAAAATGCCCCCAAATTTCTGCAAAAACAGGGCAATGAAGGAACATATGGTTGTTCTCCTCTTCTCCTTGGCCATACTGCACAGACAGCAGATCTTGGATCTGTATACCTCTTCTAATCAGGTTCCTTATAGATAGACTTCTATCCAAAACTACAGCCCAAACCAAAGCATTTACTTTAGAGGGGGGTGTCGGATTCCAGATTTTGTCAGCAGGAACATCAGCTCTATCTCCAGTTGTTAAGTTTCCGGAAATGGATTTAACTGAAAAAAGCCCATCTGCAGTCCAGTTCCAAATCCAAGTGTCTTCTTCCAACTGATTGGACAGAAACTGAAACAGCTCAACCACTTGGTCAATTTCCCAATCTTGGAACTGTCTTCTGAAATAAGGGCTCCAGGAAATGCTGTTGTCCCTCACTTCATAGCAGTCAGCCACCATTGCCTCCTGATTCTCTGCAAGCTGGTATAACTGGGGAAATAACTCGGCTAAAGGCCTGCTATTGCACTAAATGTCCTTCCAGAATCTCAGTCTGTGACCAGATCCAAGCCTTAGAGATAATCCTCTCTTTAGAAGTGGAGAAACTTCCATAGTTTTTTTTCTTTTTTTTTTTTGAAAGAAGTTAATTGATTTCATTAAAAGGAGAGAAGGGTACACAAGAAGGTGTACAAATACATGACAGGGGTCAGACCCCTGAGAATTACACAGGAGGAGTTTTGTCACAATACAAGGACTCCAGAGTGGCACCTAATTTTGCTAATCCATCTGCAAGGGCGTTTAGCTCCCTTGAATCCAGTACAGAGAAACATTTGTAAGAGCCAATAGATCTCTTGCCTCTGTTAAGAAGTGACTAAGTCTCCACAATCCAGCTTCCTGTTGTCCTAACCTTTTTATAGTGTTTGCTGAGTCACCTTCGATGGAGAAGTTCTGAATACCCTGTTTGCCGACTAGGCGAATCCCTGTAAGAGCTGCTAACACTTCTGCCTTTGTAGAGTCAGCTATTCCAATCAGTCCACTGTATACCCAGCAGATGAGCCCATTTTCATCTCTTAGGGTTCCCCCTATGCCGGCAACTCCAGGGTTACCCAAGACACTTCCATCAAAGCTTAGAGTCCAAGTTCCTTCCCTTCTTATTGAGGGGACTCTGGGGGTGTATGGAATAGAGGGGGAGGAGTGCAGAAAGTAATACACATTCCTGTTGAGGTCATTAACATTGAATCCTTTGAACTCTTCTGAGCTGGAAGCCCACAGATTGCAGTGATAAGCAATGTGATTGAGCAGCTGACCCTTAGATTGAGCATTTCACTCTTCTGAGCTGGAAACTTCCATAGTTTTCTTCCATAATGAACACCCTGAAGAGGAGAAGTTTGATACAATTACCCAATCACCTGTCTGTATCATACTTTGCCACTAGTAATTTCCTCCACCAGCTTTCCCTCAACTGGAACAAGCCTACATGGGAACCCTATCAGGCCCTAAACCCTGCTCTGCTATCATGAAGGCTGGTGCTGTTCAGAGTCAGCCAGTATTCTGGTGCAGTTTCAGCAAGAAAACCAAGAAAAAATAAAGAGAAAACCAGAAGAAAGAAGAGAGGAAGAGAAGAGAAGAGAAGAGAAGAGAGGAAGAATGAGAAGAGAAAGAGAGCAGATCTAATCTATTTCTGCCACCCAGATTTATTATTTATATGTTTCTATCATAAAAATAACTACAATGACATCTATGCCCCTGCCAACCAAACCACTACTTAACAGACAATAACAGCAACAATAACAGTAGCTAAAAAGGCCCAGAAAGACTACTAACAACCAAATGAAAAATAGTAACTAATATGGCAGGGACCACACTAATTTACCGGACTGTTTCTCCACATTACCTATACCGATATCTTACCCTATGGCCATTAGTATTCTTGCCATGTGCAGGTATCTAGTTATCAAACCTTGTATATCACTAGACCCATAAAATAACTACTTGATTGTGTATTAGTTTTTTAAACTGATTGCAAGACCACTAAGCAAGATTTTACCTGGATTCTATAGGTGGAAAATCTGACCTACAAATCCCAAGTCCTGGAAGCTAAGTTAGAAAGTACATCAAAGCAACTAAAGGAAGCCACTGCTCTAGCAAGGGATGAAGCTGAAAAATGCAAGGCTGCAAAGGAAGTAATCAAATGTTTAACCATACAGGTGAGGTTAAGACATGCTAAACTTTCATGTTGTTTAACAACAACAACAACTACTACTACTACTACCACTACTACATCCATAGTGATGTTGATAGTAATAAGGCCAATAACAATGTAATAATCCTTATAATGCATTACCTTTTCTCCAAATATATATATATATATATATATATATATCACTTGAGTATCACTCCCTGTAAATATCATCAATATAAACCACCAATATAATCTTCCTATACACATTGCCATAGCTGAATACTAAGTGATCAACCCAGCATTGTTTCATACCAAACTCCACAAATTAACTAAACCACTCAAACCAAGCCATTATCTATTGCTTTAGGTGATATATTTCTCTTTGTAACCTACATACTTTATCCTCCATCCAAGCAACAAATCCAATGAGATTGTTCCATGAACACTTCTTCTTGTAAGTCTCTATGTAGAAAAGCATTTTTAATATTGAGTTAAAGCAATGCCCAATTGAAATTAGTTGGGAGAGTTAATGACTTGAACAAACCCAACCTTAGCTATGGAAAAGAATGTCACAAAGTAGTTTATCCCATATTTTTAGGTATACCTTTTTGCTACCAGCAAAGCCTTTGCTATGGAAAAGAATGTCACAAAGTAGTTTATCCCATATTTTTAGGTATACCTTTTTGCTACCAGCAAAGCCTTTGATCACTCAATAGTCCTGTTGGGCAGGGACTTTATAGCATATACCCAACAATAGCTAACAACATGTTTACCAAGAGGAAGAGGAGGCGACCTTGTACAAGTGTGAGAAAATGGTTCAAGTCTGAGAGTCCATTTTGTCTGAAAAAATGCCAAATGTTAGGATCATACACAGTTTACCCCTCCCAAGACCCCAGATAGTTGGGACCAACATTGGGTAATGGTCTTTTTTTATAAAGGATAACAAGATAGAACTGTTTATGGGAATGAGATAAATGATCAAATATTCAAGGGAAAAAATACAACATTAGGGGAGAGGATTATGCTAGGAAGAAATTCAAAGAATCGGAAGAGAAATATCCATTGCATCTGAGGATGACTGATGCTGATCCAGAAGAAAGCTTTTCAAATTCTGTTGACAGTCACAGTAGACACAGTTTAGAAGTGCAGGAGCTATCAATGAAAGGAATGAAGATGTGGTTGTAGGAGTTATTAATGAAAAGAGTGAAGTTTTAGTAGCTGATCAGATAATTGAGCTTATAAGGACTAAAACAAGAGTATATGACATGTAAGTTTAGTACTAGTAGAAGTGCATAGGGATACACTTGAGATTGGAGACCAAGAGATAACTCAATGTGATCATTTCCGATACCTTGGTTCAATAATTCGTAACAAGAGAGAGATTAAGGAGGATGTCACCCAAAGAATTAGAGCAGGATGGGCAAAACGGATGGGTTCATCTGGAGTTTTATGTGATAGGTAAATACCACTTAGACTAAAAGGAAAATTCTATAAAACAACTGTAAGGCCAGCTATGTTGTATGGAGCAGAGTGTTGAGCAGTCAAGTAACATGTCCAAAAAATGAGTGTGGCAGAAATGTGAATGCTAAAATGGATGAGCATAAAACTAGAAAGGATAGGATCGAGAATGCAGTCATCCATAGGAACCTAGGAGTAGCCCCAGAAGGTGATAAAATGAGAAAGTAGTCTAAGATGGTTTGGTCACATGCATAGAAGACCATCAACAGCACCAATTAGAAGAAGTGATTTGTCACAAGTTAAAGGGGCTAGAAGGGCAAGGGGTAGACCAAAAAGGACGTGGGTAGAAGTAGTAAGAAATGATTTAAACACACTGGATATGGATTTAAGTAGAACGGATTGATCATGTAGCCGACCCCCTATAGTTGGGATAAGGCATGGTGGTGGTTCTGGAACTGGAAAGGATTAATGATGAGTTTAGGGATATCTTGGAGGTCAGGAAGGCTAATCTTGCAGTTAAAAAAGTTCATGAGTCAAAAAAAAGAAACAAGAATTTGGTCCAAATGCTTTCACAGTGGATATGGCTTGAAATAGAACGGATTGGCAAAACAGAATTAGTGTAGATGATGATGGTGGTGGTGGTTATGGAACTGGAAAGGATTAATGATAAGCTTAAGGATATCTTGGATGTCGGGAAGGCTAATCTTGCATTAGAAGGTTCAAGAATCAAAAACAAATATGTCTTTTAGGGCTTGGACCAAATAAGAAAGTGATGAAATTCAAGAAATTATCAAAGGAGTGGAGAGTTCCCCCCCCCCCCCTTGTTGGATGTTAGGCTTGTGAAAGGGTAGTATTTGTATGGTTGGGGTGGTTTTTTAGGCTTTTTTTGTTGGAGTGTTGGGTTTCTGGTGTGTTTCTTTTGTTGGGTGGTTGTTTGCCCTGGAAATGTTTGGAGGGTCAGAATTTTTTTTCTTGGGTGACTACTGGTCACCTTCTTTGTATTTGTCTTTTTCTTTTAATAAATTTTTATTTTATTATAAAAAAATGACTTCTAGGGATGATCACAGGCCACTAGAAAATCTGATTCCATATTATAACTACTGTTATATTATAGAGAAGACAAAATAGAGAGGGCAAGAGAAATTGAAAGAATGGTGGAATAAAGAAAAGTAATCTCTCCACCAGGTGGCTGATGTTTATATAGCCTCTCAAGTACAACTGAAATGCAAGTTTTGCCCTTATGAAGTGGGACCAAACTCAAGTAATAAAAACAGAACTTAAAGTAATAACAAGAATGACAAAAACTGGTGAACTCAGGCTCCTAGCGTAACCTGAAATACATTAGGGCAGAAATGGAATCCAAATCCAAATTAGAAAAAAAAAAGAGAGAAAGAACATTGCATATCATGAAATGAAGATTATACCTGCATATTGTTGATAGCCATATTCTATCTATATTCGTTGGGAATAATATGACATCTTTATTCAATTTTATGGCCATTTAACTGGGCCACTATATGTAACACCTCATAATGTTATCTAGCTCAGACTCACTTGTTTTTATTTTTACATTGTGCTCTTGAGCTTATTGGGAGCAAATTTTCCTTGACAAACATATCCTATATTAACCAAGTTCTTAAGTAGTTCTTGTTTTGATAATAACAATACTGTGTTTTGCATGATACCCCTACAGTATGTTCTTTTTATGCATAAAAATGTACCCAGGACCTACCCATATTGAAAATCAAAAGAGAATATGAAGGGATCCAAATTTTTGTTCCAACATGGAAAATGATGAGAGGACTGGGAACTCATCATCATCATCCCATGAATCAGTTGTTTTCCCATTTGTCTCCTACAGTTCCCACGTGTTACTACTACATGCATCACTTGGCATTCTAGTGCTAATATATGGTCAATGTTCTACCAGTTGAAAGACATGGCTGAAAGGGTGCCTGGTGGATTTACTATCAACAGCGAATCAGGTTCAGTTGCTGGACAAACATCCAATGCTCTAAGCCTTGTTTCTACTGAGAACCACTTGAACAGCCTTACTTCTCTTGAACAAGGTTCCACTGACATCCAGGCGAATCCATACTTATGCAATAGAAACCAGGCACAAACTGAACCAACAGATTGGGTTGTACAAGATGAACCAGGAGTCTACATAACTCTTTCCTCCTTGCCAGGTGGTGGCAATGACCTCAAACGCATACGCTTCAGGTATGAGAACAATACCATCTACTTTGTTCCTAGTTGGTGGTCAAAAGGAATTTTCCAGATTCCAACTTATTTGCAAAGGGCAAAATAGAGAAGCAGTACCTTGGTTCTGGCCCAGTCTACATCCTTCCTAGAGTAAACCTTGAAATAGAGATTCATGTATGTATAAAAGGATTAAGCCCTGCTCTATCTTATTGAATATGTGGTTGGGATCAGAACCTTAAATTGGATGTCATATTTTGGTTGATCATGATCTGAGATAGAGCTAGACTGTATTTACTTGATACTTGACATTGTTAGTGTACATTATTTCATAGTGCATATTGGTATTCGAGCTATATTTGATTTACAAGTCAGATAAGATGCAGGTTCTCCACAAAAAAAAAGGAATCTTCACTATGGGCTCGTTGAAATTGATTGCAGGCAACATCTGCAAAGTAAAACCAAATCCAGTATAATCCAGATCCACCTGGACCTAGTTCATTTATGCCCTAATATTTGGTTTTTAGGCTGTGCTTGGTAAGAATACAAGTGCTGAACCAAAGTAAATTTGCACTTTGGTTTAGTTTTGTATGCATTTGGTAAGAATGCATTTTTGTGTTGAAAATGAAAGTAATTTTTTTGACATTTTTGCATTCAAAATGGGAGCAATGTTTGCTTCCACAAAATTTTGCACTCAATGTTGGTCAATGTAGAAAAGGTAGATCACGGTCTTGAAATTCATGTTTGTACTTTATACAACCACAACCAAATAAAGTTGGTAAGAATACAAAGTTTACCAATGCAAAACCAAACCAAGTTTGCATTTTCATAAACCAAACATATTTGCATTTGCACTCTTACCAAAAGAAGCATTACTAAAATCTCCATGTGTGCCTTAGAAGTATCATTTATGGGCCAAATGGCACAAGCTCTCAGATAGAGTACAAGACAAATTATTACCAATTGCACAGATCTAACCAATGGCTTTGGTAACTTATTTTTAGCCAGTCAAGTTTTTCACTCTTGATGAGATGGTTAAAACCATCATCTCTTCTTCTTAGGGTTCTAAATGATCAAACTGAGACTACATCCGTGCTATGATATTATATTAAATAAAAGAGTATAAACCATCAGTCCATCAAGCATGCCATCACATTGTCCTTGTATAATAAAGATGCAATTCCCTGATACCCAGAAAGTCTGGCATTTCTATGAAGGTTTTCCTTGCATATCCCAGTCTTTGCCATTGTATTTCCAATTTTATTTACTAACGTTGTTTATCTACATACATAAATATGCATGCATGAATGTTCATTCTTTGGATAAAGGATCTACTGCATTCATATCTCAGTCAACCATTATTTGAATTTTGAAGGCACCTTATAGGAAGCTTGTTTCTGGTTTCACAACCTCTCTTTTCAACTGCTCTCTCCTGGGAAGATTTTTGTTTTTGTTTGATACCGAGCATTTTCTGCATCTCTTTTGAACTAAGGCCTGTGAACCAACTAAAAGCTTAAATGCCTCAGTTCCAATGCCCTGGACTATGGAGGGTATAAAGCAAGAGGGAAAAAAAGAACCTTACCCAGTGATGATCTTAGCTATCAGAGGTCTTGGAAGAGATAGACTGGATACAGACCTAACCCCTGGCAATTTTTGCATTAAGTGGTGGCTCTTAGATTTGAACCATGTTGTCACACTTGTCAGCCCAAGATTTTTCCCTTCATACCAAGCAATAACCCCCAACTGTACAGCAAGAAATACCTATAAAAGAAAATTGATATTACATAGTAAGAAATGCATACGACAATCATAGTAGTAATATTGTTGATCACCAGTACATCTTTTAGTTAGAACTTGTCAATGGGTCGGGTCTGATTTGGGACAGGGTGTACCAATCCCAAACTGATTATTAATCAGTCCCATATGATAGACCCAACCGTCCCAGTTATTAATTGGGACAATCGGATCTGACCCAATTATACTTGAGATCTATAATAACCTATGATAATAGCAATTTAAAACTTTATTTTTGATGATATAATGTTAATAAAAATGATGGTAAAATAGTAACTGTTTATATGTTGATAAAAAAGTGTGTAATCTTTTTTTTTTATTGAATAAGCAGTTTTTAATCAAAATTATCTTAGATACTACATATGAAATTTACCCTTTTGGACATAAAATATAACAAAAATTACAAGAAAACCAAGAAGCCTTTATATATTATTAACTATGTAAACAGTTCGAGTCTGAATTGGTTTGGAATGGCACGAACCAGTCCCAACCCAATTATTAATTGGGACAAAGCCACAGAACCAGAACCAACATTATTGGTTCGGTCCGTTTGGTTCTGTTGGGTATAGTGGCCCTTATAGAAGGCACAAACATAAATGCCCTTTCACTAAACCAATTGGAAGGGTGTTTCAATCATCCATGTAGTCATTTTTTTATCAGTAACCCCTCTGTAGTCACTGATAATGCATGTTGTGTCAATAATCTGTACTTATTCAATTCCTCTTCACTTTTCTGCAGTCGGAAACATTTCAGTGAGAAACAAGCAGAGAAATGGTGGGCTGAAAACAGGATAAAGATCTTCCAGCGGCACAACATCCTTGGTACAGAGAAATCCATAGGCATTTCATCAGCAGCACCAGGAGAGAAAGCAGCCTAAATAATTGATACTAATGATATACATAACCCTCCCCACTAACGGTAATTGTAAATTCTTTTTGCACCGCTTATGTGGGGCTTGCTATGTTAGAAGGATCCATGGGTTAGATTGCAGGTAGTCGGAAAAGAATTGAAGCATTCAAGCAAATAAGAAAACATATATCAAGGAATCTGGATATTCTGCTGCCTGTGTTGAATTTATGCAGTTGTGTCACTCTCAAGTTTACTGGATGGATTTCATGTATTTCCAGTTGAGGTACTTGTTAGTTTTTCACAGCATAATTTTTGTTTTTCGGCCCTTGTTCTCTGGGTTTCCATTAACTTGTATTAGACTAGATTAGATTTTCTTGAAAGAAACCAAAGAAAATGCTAGCTTATTTCACAGAGGATAGCATTGAAAAGCTTGTGGATGCATGAAACTTAATTGATATTTCCACAGTATACTAATTGTACAGAGAGACATGGTACTTAAATCACTAATTTATCTAGTTCAACTGATACATTATTCTATCAGGTAGTTTTGGAGTCAGGAGTTTGGACCATCAAATTGATTGCTTCACTTCCGGATGCTTATCACAACCCAAATTAATCTTCCCGGGTCCTGGATATTGTTGAAAGAAAAGCATATTAGCAGGAAATTCCTTCTTATCTTTGAACCGAGTATGTACGGAAGAGCAACTGATTTTGAGTCACCAAAATCACTTCATTACCTTTTTCAGGGACCCATCTTTTGCTAATTTTCGGACTTATCCCTTCCATGTTGCAATAAATAACTGTGAATTGTTTCCATTTAATGCCCATTTGGCCAGTTTGAGCCTTCTTATTAAAGCAGTGCACATCCCAAGCCCAGAGCTCAAAACCCATTTGAGATCCTCACTGCAGCACTTCGGGGGAAGAGGCAGTTTAGTTACTTCAGTATATACTTGATTGACAGCTAAAAACAAAAGTAAGATTTGAACGATTGGTTATCAAGTTTTTCCCTTCAAGTTGAACGCTTCATATGTTAGCGGCAAAACTGAAAGCTTCCTACACTGATTTTTTACCCACTGATTTTTCAAGTGTCCATCCAATGGTACGAGACCTAATCACTCCTCTGTCCTCTCGCAAAGATCTACATCCAATAGTCTTGCCTTTTAATACTTCGCAGGGATATGGAAATACGTAAAAAGAATATGAAAAATTAATGGCATACGTGGAGGAATTGTATACAATTTATTTTTGCTGGAAAGGGCGACAATTATTTTAGTTCACCAATGGCATACGTGCAGTTGTTTCCGTTTTAGAAAACAAAAACATTTACATTGGCAAACACCCCCTTATTGTATTGTCAAAGATTTAAGGCAAAATCATCATGCTGATAGCCTTGGTGGTTGGGAGAAGAGGCCTAGTTCAAAAACTTAGCAAAATTCAGCCACTCTTTTTGGTAAATTATTTACCAGATAAGTATTTCTCAATAAACACTTACCTAAGTAGGTGCATTTAATTAAGGTCCAAAGTATCGATATGATACGCCCCGTATTGTATTGGGCGTATGGTATCGTATCTTTTAGTCTCGATACACCTATTTACAGGTGTTTTGGGACCTTGGTTTATTTCAATAAAAAAAAACATTAAAAACGTCTTTGTAAATCATATTTTGAAAAAAAAAATTAAAAAAAAAACATTGAACGTGTGTTTTTAAGTCCCGATATGCCCCTGGCGATACACAAGGGCATATCGATACTTTGAACCATGTATTTACCCTACCCATGTTCTTTTATTTCCCAAGTAAATAAGACAATGAACATTTTAATTATAAAAAGCATTATTAAAAAGGCAACTCTATCACATCCAAGTATTGGCAATTTCCCTAATGGAAAAGTTACTTACCCGAGAGATGGTAAGGGAAAATAAATTTTCCATGGATCTCACATAAATCTGAAAAAAGAACATGGGCTTCTTGGTCAATGGGAACCAAAATCCCATTGACCAACTTTCCCCCTCAAAATCCAAAAATAAATTCTCAAACATGACTAAAAATCCTTTTTTGTTTAAAATCTATACTATATATAAAGTGCAAATGCAGAGAAAGTTTTTTGGACTAAAATTACCCTATATTTTCTTGTTTGATAAAGGGTATAAAAGTTATTTTATTACAGCTTTATGTCAACCTTAGTGGCAACTAAAATATTCATATTTATCTATTAAATTCATCTCTAATTGTAAGGGTTGAAAATGTAACTTCAACTATTAATTTCCATCTCATTTAATCCCCTCGCATTAAGGCTTGCACTTGAGGTATTAACTCTCATTTCTCTTATTAAATCTTATATTTAAGTTATTTTTTGCTAATAAATGCTACTAATTAGATCTATATTAATATTTTTAACAATTTAAATCCATATATTTTAAAACTAAACTCAATTATCTAAGTGGTGGCTAAGCAATTCAACCATCCAAATTAAATTGATCAACCTATGAAGTCATAGTTATGTAATAATTTTTTTTAAAATAGAAATAAATATAGAAAAATTCACATTTATGATATTTGTATTAATCAAATTAAAAAATAAGTGTAATAAACAAGAATTATTTTTATTGATAATGAAAATGAAATACATAATTTAGAACCGACAAAAAATGAAATTATTTTACTATTTGGCAAAAGTTAATAATTCAACTTTTAGGTCAAACGTGTTAACATTTAATGTCATAAATAAATAACAAAAAATACTAAAATATAAATATACAAAAAAGAAAAATTATGTAAGTTTTACCAAAAAAAAAACATTCAAGCACATGTATATCATATAATTACCATATTAAACAAAAAAGTAAGTGTGACATGTCATAATTATTTTTATACATAAATACAAAAAATTATAAAAAACTGAATGCATCTATAATTGTATATTTACACTACTATTAAAAACATGAATAAGATGATTGTGAAACTTTTCGATTGTAATACTCATTTTTTAATTTAGTCCCTATGTAATTACGAAGTTTAAATTATAAATTAAACTACTACTTTTTACCTCATTAAATTCCCTCTATTTAAATCTTACATTTCTTTAATAAATGAATAAACAAAATACACAAAAAAAAATAAAATATTGCAAAAAAAAAGAATCTAACAAAACAAGTATACCTATAAATGATACTTGAAACTTTACAACTCAATCCGATTATCACATATTTGGATAAGGTGCTTATCTATCAGATTTGGATTTTGCAATTTGCATCCGATTAATAATTAAAACAAAAAAAATTGATACGTTATTACTATCATTATCATCATCTAAAATTGTCACGTGTAAAGCACGTGCACACTTACTAGTTTAAATAAACAAATGAAACAGTTCAATAAGTAGGGGTGTTAACGGTATTCAAAAATCCGATTTTGAATTCGATATTCGACATAATCGAATCGAATTCAGATAATTCGAATATCTAATCAGTCAAATTCCGATATCCTATTATTATCGAATAATTAATCAAATTCAAATTCTGATATGACCTGATTCGATTCGATAAATATCTGAATTCGATCGATTATTTAATTCTTATACATAATATATAAAATATTTTATACAATTCATATATAATAATTAAGTTATATAAATAATTTATATATTTATATACTTTATATCAATAAAATATTTATTTTATATATTTATTATCTAAAATAATTAATTAATTGAATTCGAATCGAATCGAATATTCGAATGTTTAATCAGATTGGAATTTGGATATTAATTTCAATATCCGTCGAATATCAAATCGAATTCGGATATTGGATTTTCTATTCGAATTCGAATATTACCTGATCCAATTCGAATTCGATCTGTTTACACCCCTATCAATAGGTTCTTTTTTTTTTCAAATTTACAAGCTATGTATAATGCTATCATGTGAATTACAAGAGAACACAAAAACATTAAAAAACACATTAAAAACCATATTCCATTTTTCATCTAAAGGAAAAAAAGGGTAACTGGTATTCTTTTCTAACTCATGGTTCTAGTTGATCGGTTCTCTGAATAGAAGTGTAGTAATGAGATTCAAGTTCTTTTAAGCTAGCAGCTGCCTCCTCTCCAATTTGGGCCAACAAGCGGTCTGTTTTTTCTGCCTGTTGGTTAAACTCAGTAATCCGTTGCTCAACATGCTCATTAAGGGATGCAAATCCTGAAAATATGGCTGTCTGTTTGAGCTCCGATACCAGCTTAAGAAGCGAATCTGCTGCCTGAACCTGTTTTTGGATTGAGTTAGAAAAGACAAAGGTATTTTTAAAGTCAGCATATCAGTTGTTCCATAACAGATAAGTTGGTCTTTGAAACTAAGAGAATAGAAAAGCATATCATCAATGTAGACATTAGAAAACTACCCTCAATTAAAACCTTGTCTTTTCAAAGACTAAAGATACAAATCTAAAAAATACCTAATTGGTTAAAACCCATATTACCCCATTCCTTGTATTTATCTAAAGTACCCATTTTGACACCTAGGACACTAGAACATAAATATGAGTCTGAGGAGGTCAGGTGGATCGGACTCATTAACATGTACCCACATCCAAACTTATGTAACATGGGTTAAAATTATGCAAAGAATATTACATAACACCCCAATTGCTTAAGCAATATAGTATTCTGACAATTGGTAAAGACTAATTCAACCTAAAAGGCTAAAATCCAAGCTTTTTATTGAGAGATGATGTACTTAAAAGATTAATACTTGTGAGAAGTTAATGAAGGTTGCTAATAGATTGGAGAAGTTAATGAGAGATTTCCTGTGGGAACCGGGAGAGGAAAAGAGGGATCATAGAGTGAGCTGGGAGATAGTTTGTAGGAGTAAGACTTGTGGTGGCTTGGGGCTTGGGAATATTAGGAGAAGGAATATGACTCTGTTGGGAAAGTG